TTCAAAAACAATGGAATGTTTTTGTTTCACTGAAAAGTTACAACTACTGCCATTCACAATGATGCCTATACATAAAGGTTCTGGACAGGAACAATTTGCTTCCTCCCAGTAGAGTTACTTCTCCTGATTGACTTGGATAGACCTAGGTCTTTACTGCAGAAATTTTTAAACCCCCTGCATGCCAAGATCTCTGTGCCCTTGCACCTGTCATCCTGATGAGACAAGTAAGGACCATAGGAATTTCTCCACTGTTATCTAATACCTGAGAAGGGCTTGAGGATATTGTGCTAAAGAACAAGAACTCAAGGTAATGCTGGGAAAGGGGCAGCCACTGTGTCCCTGTTACGACTCAATTCTCCTGGAACAAGTCACTCAGCATACTGGAACAAATGATTAAACATCCCATTTATAAGCACCGAGAGGATAATAATGCAGTAAAGGGAAAAAAAAAGCAATGTACTTTTGGCAAAAACATATCATGCCACCCAGGCCTCATTTCCCCTTTTTTGTATGATAGCTGGCATAAGAGATAATGCAGAAGCAATATGTGTGATTATGTGATATATCTTGACTTCAGAAGACCTGACAGTCTTCAACAAGCTAAGAGAACATGGTGGATGTTAACTCCATCAGGATGCTTCAAAGAGCTGCAATCAACAGATTGCTCTCCACCAGGGGTAGGTTTAGTGGGCTGCTGCCACAGTCTGCTTTTGTGTCCTGATGTCTTCAATACTTTAATTAACACCTTCATGATGGAACAGAAACAAGGCACCTGACTTTTATTGATGACATTACATTGGGGGCAGTTGCAAGTGCTTTGGAGCCCAGGATGGTAAGGAAACTGAAGTGGTCTCCATGGAGAGACCAACCAGATGACATCCAACAGCAGAGAGCACAAAGCAGTATTCTCAGGAAGGGGGGAAAACAATTAATGTTCAAATACAAAAGTGAAGAATGAGCTGCAGACCAGTAAGAGAGGATTATAAAGGCAGAAAGACTAAATTAGTGAAAGCAGTGAGGCACTCATATAAAAAAGGTAAATCTCATTTCATTCTGGGGTTAGGTAAGTGAAGTGTGATATGCAAAACATGGCTGATACTTGTATCTGCATGATTGAATCCTGAACTGGAACTCCTGTTTTGGTTTTGGACAGTACATTTAAAGAAAACATGTAGACAAATCAAAGAGTAGTGAAATATACATGCCACAGGGGTTGAAAAAATATGACCTCTGGAAAGCAGTGAGCCTATTAAGCTGCACTAGAGATCTCTGAGACACAGAAATTTAGGGGTTTCAGGCAGATAAAAGGCAGTTTTGAGGAAGAGGAGAAATAACCACTATGTGTCTTGGAAGGCCCAGAAATAATTGGCAGCAAAATCAATTTGGATCATATGTTAATAAAAGCTTTCCAAATGCAAGGAGAGTGAAATAATGGACATGCACCAGCTATGCAGGCACATCTTCAAAAAATACATGTATGGGGCAGCAACTGTAGAGCTACTGTGATCTTGTCTCACTGCATGGGGAAGGACCAGACCATCCCTTGCAGGTCCTTTCAAGTGTTTACTCTTTTGATCACATACCAGCAAAAACAACTGGAGTAGTAAACAGACAGCTTTGCAACTGGCCATTATACCCAAATTGAAGCAGCCCAAAATGCTGTGAGTGAGGTGGTGGCTCAAGGCAGTCTCTTGGTGCATTCACGCCAGTGGAGGGAGCACCTGGTAGCAAATGAGCTGGGCAGAGACAACCACCTCCAGTCTAGAGGACTGCAAGGACGGCTGCCCACCTGGCTCAGAAAGATGGCAGAGATGGCCACAGCTGTACTAATGAATATTTTGGCAGTGAATGCCTACTTCTACTAGCAGAGAAGCTTTATGTTTACTAGCTTTATTTTTCAAAAGATGGAAAGACTTATGAGGACAACTTTTTCTACTTTTGGCTCCATGAAGTTCTGATTTTTTTTTTGAAGTGTCATTTCATTATGCCCCTTTTAGACCTCTGCAATACGCCCAGTTGAGAAGGATCATCAATCCCAGTTGAGAGGGATCTCATACATGGACCTACACACTTAAGAGAGGAAAGGAATAGACCAAGTAGGGTGTTTTTGCAGAAATTGTTGCTGGCAAAGTAAAACTGGTTCTTCCCATGTGAATAGTAAAGGACTTGGGCATATACATTAGAGAGGTGATGTCCCTTTTTCTGTGATATACTTCTGCAGCTCTGTCCAGCAGAGTTCACCAAGCAGAGCTCACCTCAGGGAAAGCTGATTTTCTCAAGGCTGGAAAGGACCTGGTCCTAGAATGCCACTCCATTAGACTGCAGTGATCTAAGCACAGAAAACATTCAGGATACCAGTGAAGCCTGCCTACTTCAGCTGCCATTGTGGACATGGATTGGTCTCCAGTTTTAAGAGCTCCAACAGCACTCTAGGATCTGCCTACCCACTTATGAGTGTCTGATACAGCTATCCCATTTGTGTCTAGGGGTAAGAGAAGTTGTGCTCTCACAGGGGCTAGAGAGATGAGGGAGTTGAACTGGGAGAGATTAAAGATTTGTCTTTGGTAGGGGGATGCAGAAATATCTGTGGCAACACTGAGTGAGAGGAATAGGAAGCCTGGCATGGCCCTAAACCAACCCATTGTCTCCAGGGCAGGAGCAGCTGTCATTGCAGCATCTTTCACTGGCAAATCCAGGCATCAACCATGTACTCAAAGGTAGCAATGAGTCTCTGATCCTGGTTTGCTTTTGTTTCCCTGAGCTTGTTCAAAGGAGACCACTGACCATCATTCCAGAAATTCTCCTCCCAGATTACCAGGCAGACCAGTTGACTACTCTGTCATTTAATGTTTCAGGAGTTGTATTTTCTTTTATTTATTTATTTTTACATTTGGGATGCCCAGAGCTTCAAATAGCCTATGTTTTGAAATGTATGAATACAAAAACAAAAGAAGCAAATAAACTATATAAAAGAAATAAAACTAAATAGTTTAGTATCACTCAATATCCAAACTCCTTTAATTAGCACTAGTAGCAGACTATTTTTCAGGCAAACAACCTGCAAATCTTGGAAAAATAACAATCAGTATAAGAAAATATTACTCTGAGACTACAGGGATTATTTTCTAACATACATTATTTGTACTGAATTAGTTTTATTAGTTAAGATTATTTCCAAAACATGTTTAAAATGAGAGTAACTCTTCCAAACTGAAAAGGATTTTGTATTTATATTTTCCTCCACTTTTTTTTCCAGATTAAATTTAGTTTAAAAAAATTAAAGCTATGAGTTTTACCTAATTACAGGATTATACAGTAAGCACAATATCACAATGAGTCTTTTATTAAATCTGTGCAGGTGTTAGAACAAAGATTACCCACAGATACCTTATTTACAGTTTAGGAGTGTCAAAACCTAAATTTTCTTATTCTCAGAAAGGTGGCAGTAGTTCAGAGCCATATACCCACGTATTTAAGTGAAAGCTAAGCTAGAGAACTCAATTTTGCTGCTTAGGCCCATATCTAATAGGCACAAATAAAATTAATAATACATATGCACGGCTCTAGAATTCATTTGTCCCTATATTTTTCTTGACAGGTAAATGGAAATTGTGTGCTGTGAGATTTCACCAGTAATAAACCACCTACAGAGGGCTGGCTCTGCTCTGCTGTAGTGAGCAGCGAGGCAGGGTACACCTCTAGGGCTGGGGAATGCATCTCATGCAGCAAGCACTCAGCCAGGCTGGGAGAGCTGCTTTGTGTGCGGGCATGGGCCACTCTTTGTGCTGCTGGGGGAGGATTCTGGGCAAGAAAAGCAACCAGGAGCCTTCTGGCTCACTACACCTGTGTGTAAAGCATCACCTCTGACCACATGTCCAGACTTTGTCACCTTGCAGATAAACACTTAGGATGCTACTCAGCCCCCCAGTTTGCCAAGTAGTACCAGCAAGAGGAAAAGTCCTTTCCTGCATGCATCTACAATCAGAGCTATTCAAAAACTTGTTGGGGGAAATGAACTCTGCAGCCTTATGGGTTACTACACAAATCAGAAGAAATAACAAATTCCTGGCTGAAGGAAAATATAGAAGTTGAACATATCTGTAATATGTATCAAACACATTCATAAATATATACCAACTAAGCTGCTCCATAAATATTTTAGATAAATAGCCAGATAGACAAAATGGCATGAAGATTTAAAGCAAAACTAAACAAAACTGGGTAAACTCACTTGTTTTGTGTTCTGGTCTGGACAGGATGGAACAAGAATAAACTCATTAATGACCTTAACAATAACTGGTGAACTCTTTAATTTCTTTACTCCCTGTTATGCCATAAATTCAGGCAGACAGATAACACAATACTGGTATGCCAAGTTTCCTGTTCCTTATAACACACACCGGAGAAGGGTAGCTAAAAAAGGAAAGGGCAACATAAGGTACATGGCAGGTCCCTTAGGTACCAGGTTTCACACATGCCTAGTGATGGTGCACCCGGCAGACCAATGACCCAGCTTGGAAAAACTCACAGGAAAATTAATTCCTTAGCCTGGCAGAAGGCTGATTATGGAAGGCCAAAAAACACAGCACAGTAGCTTGTTGACACAAGAAAAAAAGAAAGGAAACCTGAGGAAGGAGGAGGCGAAGAAACCAGAGGGCTCTCTGTAAAGAGATAAGGCACAATGCTCTGAAAAGTGTCATTATAAACAAATGGTTTCCCATCAGTGCCAAACAACCAGAGCCAGGAGGCAGGCTTGCATCATATCAGAATGTGGCTTGGCGTCACTGGTGTCCCCTGCTCTGTCACCACTTTTAAAAGGACAAACTGACAGCAGAGTAAAACCATGCTATGCCACAGTGCAAGGGAAAAGTCTAGCTGGCTCCTGAGTAAACATAAAGGACGCACAGGCTACTGACTCTTGAGTTTCTCTTGGAAAAATACAGCTCTCTCCTCTCACTGTGTCTTTTGCTCTTTGCTCTCCTATCAGGCACATTGCTTACCTTGCACAATCAAGTAAACCTGGGAAGTCTTGGGATGATGCTGTGTCTGCACTGAACACGTGTAGGACCCCTCATCATAGACATCCACTTTCTGGATCCGCAGGCTGTATTCCAGGGGGTTTCTCTTCTCCAGCTCTACTCGAGGGTCCAGGGACCACTTGTCCTCTCCAGCAAAAATGATGCCAGAACGGTTTAACCAGGCCACCTTGGAGCTTCTGTCTTCTACATAACACCTGCAGAGGATGAGACAGGTAAGGGGGAGATTAACAACACTCTCCATCACCTCCCTTTTGTTCCTACTGCTTTGCTGAGAAACTTCACACCACACTCCTGCCTTGCCAGTAAACCATAGAATCTTCTCATCATTATTGTCCCATGGACAAGTACTTAACAATTTAACTCTGTTGAAGAGTTTCAGGAATCTTTGGTTCATAAACCCCATGGGATTTGGGGCAGACATGTCTCTTGTTCTCTCTTCCTTTTGCCTGTGGCCTACATACCAAAAATTAATTTGGAAGCCACAAGAGATCTTGATCACCAAATACCTTCCAACCTTGCCAGTGAGAAAGGTTGGAAGTAGCTCTTCCCATGCTTCTTCTTCACCTTCAAAAAGTTGGCTATACAATAGATAAACCCCTAGACCCCTTCCAGCCTGAAGGGCAAAGGTTCAGGGCTCCAGCTTTGTCAGCTCAGGGCACAGCTCCTCCATCCCTCAGTTTCAGCAGCACTAGTGGAGGAAACTATAAAGTATCTCCCATCTACATCCTTCTGACAAAAAAAAAAAAAAAAAAAGTGGAATTATTTCATTGTTCAAACACCACCCTCCTAACACATACACACTCACTTGCTGATGCACATCTGCTTGTTTGTGCAGGCAAGTGCAGATTGCAGGCTGAAAATGAGAGACTGTGGGAGTGTCACTGTCTTCCCTGTGACACACAGAGAATGTTCTGTGAACATCTCAGATGGACAGGAGAGGAGGAATGACAGGTAGGGGTGGCAAGCAGAGGAGTAGCAGGAGGATCAGAAACTGCCAGGGCCCTGAGTGCCACTTTCCCAAGTCAGAGGACAAACCAACCCCATTGCAACTGTAACTTGACAAGTATTTTGTTTCTTGACAGAGAGCAGTGTAAGTGCCGTGAAGACAAATGCATTTTTGGCAAAGACACCTGCTCTGTACCACTTCCCACCACCAGAAGGAGACTTGCACAGAAAAGGCGAGGAGCTGCCACTGAGGAGACACATCTTGCTCACTCTCAGCTGTGTCTCATTCAAGAGGACCAGGGCTGAAGAAGACAGCAGACATAACTCCTCTTTCACCCTGGCAGCTGCACCCCCAGGCTAGGCTCAGACAGGCTGGGAGCAGGTTTGCCCTGCTGCAGCTCACATCACATTAGCTCTGCAGATAAACAGGGAAGCTCAGGCTCCAGAGCTGTTGCTCCTTCACCTCTCAGAGCTCTGTCCACAGTGTCCCAGCATCCAAATAACCCAGTACCTCTTGCCACTGCTATTACAGAATCACAGAATAGGTAAAGTTGGAAGGGACCACAGTGAGGTTGTATGGTCAAACCTCCCTGCTCAAGCAGGGTCTTCCTAGATCACATTGCACAGGATTGTGCCCTCTTCGCTATTTATGCATGTGTTGTATTTGAAGGAAGAAAGAAAGAGGATAATGATTATTGCTTCAAGATAAGACAAATATTTGACAGTAGCCTTTCATACAGCCTTTTAGCATGGGTCAGACATTTTCCAAGTTCCTTTATTTGAATGCATTTCATTCAAGGCTGCTGCAGCTGCCTTCCCTTGTGATGTGACCCCACCATTATGGCCGTCACCTCACACCCACTCCCTTTTGGCAAGCCCATGGATGCTGTCCAAGCTGTTCTGGGGTTACTTGTGGGCAGGAGGAAAGCCAAGCTGCGTGGACATCCATGGGAGCCATGCCATGCTGCTGGCCAAGCTGTAAGCAGCTCTGTCTGATCTGACAAACACTTGCTTTAGAAAGCAGCCCAATAGATTCTTTTCTTTTACTGACAATGTCCAGACAAGGAAGGGGAGTGAAAATTTGGCCCTCAGGCCAGAGCCCACCCTCCTGGCCAGGCAGGCACTTGCCCCCAAGATGAACTCTCAGGTGTGATCTGAGTTTTTTCAAAAAGCTACTCTTTGTCAACAAGAAGGATGCAGGGGAACCTGTGAGCAGTCACTTACAGGTAGAAACCAGCATCACTATGATGAGGCATTGCCCCAGTTCCATTGGCCACTCCAGGCAGTAATCACAAGTGATGGGAGGTGAAAGCCATGATCCACGGAGCACAGTGTGCTCCAGGGCTGAGGGCAGTGGCCCTGTAGGAACACCCAGACTGCCTCCAGAGCTGGCTGCCTTAGGGTCAAGAGCCCTCCTGCAAATGTAGGAGTTCTAGCAGCACCAAGAATCAGGGGTCAGCTATTTTGGTAGTGAAAAGCTAAGCAGATTAACAGTGGAAACTGAAGTCAGTGGGAGCTGAAGTTTCTTAGTCCCCCTGAACAGCTATCAGTGCTGCTGGATTCCAGCAGATCCATGGCACCCCACCATCTCCACCAGGCTGCTTTCCCATCCCCACTACGGTACAGTGAGCACTCAGCAGCTCTGCCCTGTCCCTGATCATTGTAACTCTCTGGGGTAGCAAATATGCCCCTGTGTGGTGTCTTGTCAGTGACAGTTCAGTGGTGTGGTCAGCACAAAGCCTTGTGCTTTTGCTCCTGTGGCTAGGCTTCAACCAGAGACCCTCCCTCCTCTCCCTGGAAGAGAAAATGTGTCATAACCTGTCTTACATGCATCCAGGTCAGCCCTAGGACAGTGGTCAATAGCTACAGTCAGGCAACCTTGCAACTGGCCCTGAAACAAGTTAGCAGGTGCTACCAAAATAAGGAAAGGATATAGGACAAAGAAAAGAGGAAAATGGGAGGAGTGAGTGAAATGGATTTGAGCCCTCTATTCACCATATCTGTTCCTCTCAAGCTGTCAGGGAAAATCAATGTACAAATGTGGAAATTCCAAGTCCTGGCATGCTCTGAACATGCATTCACGTGGATGATGCATCTCAGTATGTCTGTCTGCACACACAGACACCCCCCCCTCTTAGTCTGCCAGAGATGCCACCCAGCTGAATGGATCACGCTTTAATAAGGATTTATGGTGATGATTTTCACAGTGTAATAAGTGCTAATTCAATACTAATAGAATATTAAATGGCATGTTAACTGACATTTTAACTGCAAAGCAATAGGAGCATGGCATCAGCCAGATATCAATGGACTCTTATTGTTCACTAATAATCAATAATCAAGTTCACAGAGACAGTCAAACACTTTTCATTAGACTTATTGGAACCATTACCATCAGCCTCAGTGAAAGCTAATAAACAGTTTGTGATCCATGCATTATTCTTTTCCTTATGGTTGCAGGTTTGATTTCTTGACATCTCTGATGTGGCTAACGAGAGGACCAGTGAATGGTGATAGGCATGACTTGCATGATCACTGTAAGAACTTGGGAACTGTTGATCATGCACCATTTGAAACCAGAGACACGGAAGGACAAAAGAAAGATCTTGCTGCCATGCCCCATTAGTCCTCCTTGATTCATTGAAAACAAACACAGCCAAGTTTGGCACCTGAAGTTTTTTAGAAACAGCTGGATGTGGAGAAAGAAACCCAGGTCATCCTTGCACTCCTCCCCACTTGCAGATGCAGACAATGGGGCTGAGCCGTGCTACAGGGAGGGGATGGGGCAATGCTTTTCTGCAGGAGAATGATTTTGAACCTTGAGCAGGAACCACTGCCTTGGATGGGATAGAGGGCTGCCCACCATCATTCCTGGTCCCTGGATTTCATGACGGGCTGGGACACCTGGCAGCATGCAGGCTGGGGGAGGGCAGGAGCAAGTCCTGCTGCTTGTCCTCCCTCCTCCATCACCTGCTGGTCAACACGCAGCGCTGGGCCAAAGCAGCGTGCTTTGCCCTGCTCCTGCAAACCTGCCCCTGTAAGCTCCGAGGAACACTCCCCATCTGACAAGAGATGCATTTTTTTTCCCCCTTCTTCAAAGTATTTGGGCTTGTTCCCATTGATGGGTGAGAGACAGAGTGAAGAAAAGGAGCCTGAGGCTTGGGCACAACCATCTCCTCTCCCGGCGACGCGAGCCCGGAGGTTTCAGTGCCTGTTCTGCCTCACTCGGGCCCCAGCGCTTGGAACACCCGAGACACCCGCTCCTCCTGCGGCGGCGGCAGCGCCGCTCCGCGCATCGATTTCCCAGCGTGTTGCTGTAACACTCATCGCAGTTTATGTTGTGCCTGTCACTCCAGCAGCTCTCGGCCCCAGGCTTTCCACCCTCTGTCTCGCCCGGCGAACAGACTGCTGAGAGGCGGCGTTTGCCTGGGAAGGCCCAGCACGGCTCCCCCGGGCCGCCGGCAGCCGCTGCCGGGCTGGGCCGCACGGGCTGAGGGGGGTGCGGCAGAGCCGCGATCTCGGCAAGGGCCTTCCCATTCTGCCCCAGAGAAAGAAGCGCAGCAGCTACGGCCGATGCTGCGGAGATGGACGGGGGTATTTCATCCCTTCGGGAAGGGATACATGATATTTACGGCCTGGAGTGATGAAAAGGCAAGAAAGAAGCCCTTCAGGGCCTGGTGAAGCTGCTGTTTAAATGATGGCTTTAACATGGAGATTTTACAGCATTATCAATGATGTATTGGGTTGCACTGAAACTGGGATAATTATTTGGGGTTTTTTAATTGCTGTTGTAATTCCAATTTTTTTTTTTATTTTTTTTTATAGCAGACCAAACCCACAATTCTCTGCCAGAACCCCACTAGTGAGAAGAAGCAAGCTGCTAGGATTAATGAAATATGCTGCACTGCTTTGCCAGCAAGCCACAGCTCTTACCTCATTTTGGGGAAAAATAAATAAATAGTGAGTTTATGGACTGCATTTTCTGCCCTCTTTCTCCAAAGCATGTTGGGGTGACAGCTCTGTGCCGCAATTCCCACACTCCTTTTTAATCATCTTTTCTCCATTAACCCTTTGATCGTCTCTTCTGTAAGACAATCTCTGTGCATCAGGCCAAAACTCAGCAGCCTGCTGCACGCACAATTAAGCACCCAAACCCCACCCCACTGCGCTCACTGAGGGACATGCTGCCCTTTTGCCAGAGGATGCCACAACCCACCCTGCATCAGATCTCCTGCCTTCGCCTCAGCTC